TAGCCGACCAGATATTATGTTCTCCATATGTCTTTGTGCAAGATACCAAGCGAATCCAAAGGAATCTCACTTGGCAGCCGTTAAGCGCATTTTCAGGTACCTGAAAGGTACTCCCAATTTGGGTCTTTGGTATCCCAAAGACTCAGGTTTTGATCTAACAGGTTTTTCAGATTCTGATTATACAGGCTGTAAAGTTGACAGAAAGAGTACAACTAGTAGTTGTCAATTGTTGGGTGGAAAGTTAGTCAGTTGAACTAGCAAGAAACAACACTTTGTGTCCACCTCAACAGCTGAAGCTGAGTATGTTGCTGCAGGTAGCTGTTGTGCACAAGTCTTATGGATGAAAAATCAGTTAGCTGATTACGATCAGTTGTTCATAGAAATTCCTATTTTCTGTGACAATTCAAGTGCCATTGTTATTGCCAACAATCCAGTTCTTCACTCTCGTACGAAGCATATTGATATTCGATATCACTTTATCAGAGATCATGTGATGAAAGGTGATGTGAACTTCATTTTATCCCCACAAACTATCAACTCGCTGACTTGTTTACCAAGCCTCTTGATGAAGTTCGGTTTAATTTTTTGATCAGTGAGTTGGGAATGTTCAATGTTGACAAATAATTTTTGAGTCTTCACTAATTCATTTGGGTTGTGTGTTTTCTCTAAAAATGTTGTGTCATTTGCTCAAAAATAGTCTAGTATCTGTGTGAGTGTATGCTTCTCTCTTTCTAAAATATTGTTTTTTCTAAATGATGGGTTTTACTCTCGTATTTTTAAAAAAATCAATTTCTATTTTTTCTCTAACAAGTCTCTGTGTGAATTTCTTTTTATTGCTTAAAAAATTATTAGTATTTTTTTAATTTATTTTATGTTTAAATATATATATATATATATATATAAGAAATAGTTTTTATTCTATGTTTTTGTGTCGATTTTTTATTATTTTTGTTGAGTTTAGTTTTTATTATAAACCATTCGATTTGTATGGGCCTCTCTTTGGGCCCAACCTAGACCCAACACCTCTCTCCTTCGGCTTCACCATCTCTAAACCCTACCTCTCTTCCCTCATCTACACACCAATCACAAACACCTAAACCCAACCGATCACTTCATCTCAAGCCGAACCTCTCCCTCCTCCCTACTCGGCTTCTCCTCCCTACTTGGCTTCCCTCACTCGCCGAACTCTAACCACTCATACAAGCCGATCCCCATACCCACACTCTCTCAATCGACTTATTTTCCTCTAACCCTCAAGCCGATTCCCACATCTTTGGCCTCTCCAATCGCTCATACCGCCCCTTCCCTTACCCATTCGGCTTTGCATTCCACACAAGCCGATCCCTCTCCTCTCAGACTCACTCTCGATCGGCCCCTCTCTTTACCGATCGGTTCCTCCCCCTCTTAAACCGAAACCTATTCGGCCTACCCCTTGGGCCGGCTTCTTCCTCACACACTCATAGCAAGCCGATCCTAACCCCCCTTTCGGTCGATCTCTCTCTCACACACCATAAGCCGATCTTAGTCTCCTCAAACTATCTTCATTCGGCTTCCTCCTATTCCTAAACCGCTTACACATTTGGCTCCTCCATAAGCCGAACCTCTCTATCTCTTAAACCGTTTTATACATCCACCCTCTCAACCCTAGCCGAACATAATCCCATTACCCACTACACCAAACCGATCCCCTTTCTCTCATCCCTTCAAACTTCTTAAGCGCACTCCCCTCAAACCTTCCACAAACCGACCCTCAACCAAATCCAACAAGCCGATCTCTCTATTCCCTAAACACCCCAAAATCGATCCATACGGTCCCTTCGGTCTCCCATCGTCCCTTCCTAATTATTTCGATCGGCCCCTCATCTCTCTCTCAAGCCGATCCACCTTCTCACCATAAGCCGAACCAAAATTTAGACCCCCTCCTCTTCCCTTTCGATTCCTCACAATCGGCCTCATCACATTCGTACCCCCCTCTCGAACATAAGCCGAACGCCCCCCCCCCTCTCAAGCCGATCCCCACCGGCTCCCCTCTCCTCTCCTAGCCGCCGCCTTGTGTGTTTGTCCCCAAATCCCCGATATTTTTTATTTTCAAAACCCTTTTCCCTCTTTCTCTTTTTCACTCACCCAAGACCCCCTCCCACACCCCTATCCCCTACCTTTTTCTCACTCCCTACTTTTGTCCCCTTTTCCCCAACATCTTTTTCAAAACCCTTTTCCTTCTTCTTCTTTTCAATCTTTCAAGACCCCAAACCCACACCCCAATCCCTCATATTTTTCAACTTGTCCAATCTAGACTTTTTCCTTTCCCTAGGTCACCTGTTTTTACCCAACATCTTTTCCCTCCTCCCTTCTCTCTTTTTAAAAACTATTTTATCCTCTCCTCTTTCTTTAAAACCTCAACCTCTCCTCTTCTCCAAAGTTTACTAAAACATCTTCACCCTCCAAGCTTACAGTGTGTTTTGTTTTCAAGATTTTCAACCATGGCTTCTAAGCTTGGAACTCCCTCCAAAGCTCCAAAGGTTAAGAAATCTGTTACCCTTACTGCTGATAATGTTACTTTCTCTCCGTACAATTTTGTGGCATTGTTGGATCACAATGAGAAGTATCCGGATTTCTTCCTCATCATCGAATTTCTATGTAAGTGCCCTCTTTTCAAAGCTTTTACTTATTCTCCAATGATGAGTAAATCTCTACTACATGCATTTGGGCTACTT